TAAGACGTTCCGTCGCTGAAATAGCTCGTAACTTGATCGTTACGTTGCTGTTGTCGTTAAAATATATTTATCACACACCGTGCCGCTTTTTCGACTCCGTAAAATTGTATTGCACGACTGTGCATATATTTTGACGCGACGTCATTTGTGTTATACCTCGTATAAACATACTGTAAAGACGCGCTAAATGTTAGCGTTGTAAACTATAAGTGCGTCACTCTGTTTCACCTTAAACGGTCTTTATTTATGTGATAAATAGAATATTAAATTGGGGTAATTTAATTACTGAATTTATTGAACGTAGTGGAATAAATTCAGTATTAAACTTACACTCGTTCAATATCCTTTATATTTACGGTAGATGATGACGTTGTTACGTTGTTCTTGGTGACACATGAACGCTCATTTAGGTAAGAGATTTTTAGTGCATCGTTTTAGAATGACGCAAGCTCGATTTCAAATGTGCAGGAATATATTTGGTCAATGGCACGTGCATAACAATACTGCAATGTAAGAAATATTAATATATATTTCTATCATTCTAAAATGCTAATTCATAAGGAAAACTTCACCGAGCGGTAGGTAATTTCCTGACGTCATTTGATTAACTAGCATTTAATCTGACGTCATATGACGAGTAAGGATTTCTTTTATACCGTGAATACAATAATTGTTTAATGCCCTGTCTGTTTGATATTTAAATAATGTGAATCTTGTTAGAATATGGAAATGACGTAATATGCCGGACGTTGTTACGTTATGATCGTTTACGTTTCACTTTAGAATTGGTGGAGTTTGTCGACCTTTTGTGAGTTCATTTTTTATTGACTTTTTAGTCACGCCGGTACTGTTAAGGTCATATGGAAACTTTCTGGCTTTCCTGGCAGAGAAGACTTTAGATGCCTCTCTACTGAATAGAACCACCGGCATTTTGATAGCATCTTCATAATTATGACATAATCGTAATGGAGTTCAAATGGATGTTCTGCTATATATGCCATCATTAATTTACTTACTTTAATAGTATAGCGATTGTAAATTATATTGCCGTTCGTTTACATTTGACGTGCGATATTAGCCCGGCAAATTGACATTAAACTTATCGGTGTGAATCTTCACTATCTATACCCTCGGGACCTCTGAATGGATTCAAAATGATACTATCGTGGAGTTTGCAAAATATTAAGACAATCGAAAGAATAATAAAACAATGCTTGGAGCTAGAAAATAATACTATAAACCTTAATTATTGTTTTACTATGATTTTCTGATGTTACCGACAGTGTTGTGTGAACTATAGCAATATTGAAAGTTACATGCCTCCAGATTAGTAAATATATATATAAAAAATCGAACTCGAAAAAAATGTATTAAAATTTTAAGAAAAGTAAGCTTTTGATACTTTACATGTCGTGTGCGATTAATGGCTGTCTTTGCAGTATTTACTGCGTGACAAACGCAGTAAAGGCTAATTTTGCATATTTTGACCTCATTTTGGTAATACACGTGGACTGTATTTTACCATTTACCTCAGTACTTAGTGACAATGATTTTAATATGAGCATACCGTTTGTCGCAATTTAGCTACTTGATTGTTTAAACTGAACCTTAAAGCAAAAATTTAAATGCCATCTAGTCCCGTCAACCTAACTTTACGGTTATCGAACGTGGTAAGCCTTTGTCACGCGTTAAGATCAGGTCAGCACGTGCCATCCGTGCAGTCTGATAAGTCTTTGACCTGAGTTGGTACCTCAGCACGTGTATTATGATATTCGAAATTCAATAACTTTCAACCTTGAAGAAACAAGGGAGGCACAAAAAAATCAATTTTTCATTGAAATCCGAGTTTATATACAGTATATAATTATATATGTATAATTATATTTTAAGTGCACAAGTTGATCTATGTAAGTTTTAAAATTTGATTTTTTTAATGATTGGACTTTCAGTTGAATCTTATACAGTCAAATCAATGCACGGGTAAACGCGACTGTTAAGCACGTGTAGGTTTTAAACGTTTTAAATAATCAACTTTAAGTTGACGTTCTTTATCTATTTAACAATAGGTCCGACATGATAAAACTGTCATGTCAGTTAAATGTTTGTGTGTGCAAAAATTCTTACCTTTGTAATCACTCTAAAGGTTTGATTTATATAGCACATAAAGTTGTTATTATTACAATATTTTATCTATATTTATAAATCATGAAAATGAGTGTTTAAATTTGAAAACAATGTATCTATACAGGAGAGAAGGGTTTAAAGTCTGATTATTTGTAAAAACTTGATTTAAAAAAAAGTTCAACAGTATACACATTAGAGAAAATTAGTAAATGCCCGTGTTCTTTCTTTCTTTCTTTGCCAGTACTTTCTTTCTTTCCAGTACAGTATTTCGATAATTGAAAATCATAATAATATATTTTCTCTAATTATAATTGCTATATTTCTTTAAATCGGCTTTGTTGAAAAAGTTGTGTATTAAGATAATGTATGAAAATGTCCGGTATATATCTCGTTCTAACTATGACTTAACACTTTTATACACCGATAAGATAAAAGATAAAAGTACTTGAGATACAAAAAAAATGGTGACAAATGCAAACAAAAATTGTTATACATTCAGGTGCTTAAAGATAAAGCGTAAATAATGTAGATCTAACCAATAATAGATCATATCAATAAATGTTGTGGCCGTTCAATATTTTGATATTTGCGGATGAAACAATGGCGATCACAGTAAATATTTGATTTGTGAAGATATCAGATGCATTTGCACTTCGATCGTGCATATTTTACATGAATTATCAGTCGCTAAAATCCACAGCATTTAAGTCAATATTGTATTGTAATTTATCTATATTGGCACATTTATTCTCCGATAAACTTTTATCATAAAATCGGAACCTTAAAAATGCCTTTTTTAATTTTTTAACCAATTATCTTTTATCGGGTATAGACGGGAATTTCCCCCAACAGTTAGCAAATTTATCTATCGTACATACAGAATGAAAAGGGTAAAATTTCACAGAGCAAATGAATGTTGGATCGTCACGAAAGATTTATTTGCTTCTAAAAATAGATTGTAAACATCGCTGGGTTTTAATTTGAGATACTCTAAAATGTATAAGAAAAACGTGTGTTTTAACTTGCTACATCGTGATGGACAGTCTATATCAAACGTGCGTTAAATATCTTCCTTTTATTCATCGATCCTTATTTGAGTTTTATATGATACAATATAATATTATAAACATGACTATTTACCGATCACTGCATGTTTCTTTGTAACACAGCCTGACTACTAACACATAAATAGCAAGCCCGTTTCTCCGCTTTCAAACTATAACTGCTATAATATAAAAGTCTTGCGGATCGAGGTCCTATAAAATTAATATATAATGAAGAACCATTGTTAATTCTGGATTAGTCATTTTCTATTAATTGCACTAGAATTGTTTTATTCTCCCAAGTCTCCTGGGTGAGTCGCCCGTGCACGTTTCCGGTGGAGTCTGTGAAAACCACTGCTATTTTTTTTTTATAAATAGTGACTGTCCAGGCATCCGGACGATCCGCATCATCGTGTTCCAAAGACCGCACAAAGTGGCGCCTCACCCTTCATATGGATATAACAGCATGAAAATATTACCATTTTCTGTATCTTCAAGGCCAAACAAGCAAGTTATGAAAAGAAAAAAAAACAACAAATAACTTTATAATCTCTCTAAGTTTCTAATTAAGATAGTACATCTATATAGGCTACCTGTATCTTTAAGCCGGGTTACACACTGCAGAATTATCGATTGACTTGTTAAGGAGCGAGCAGACGATAATATTATACTATTCTCTCAACATTTATATAGCATTGTTGCATATATGGCATTCTGTATTGATTGTTATATTGAAATAAACATGCTCTCTATTTGTCTCATGTTTTAATAATCGCCAATATTAGCCGACTTATATTTTCTGTATCTTCTGAACACAACCTCTCCCATTGATAATTTACACGAAATAAACGTCACCTCCCTATTGGCCAATCGCAACAATACATCTTGACCTAGTTAAAATTCAGGGGAATTCCCTTCTCACGATTGCTGCGCAGTCATTGGCTGTTTGTCAAGGCACCACGTGACTCGTCTATCTCGTTTGTATTTATACGGCCAAAAAATCTTAACATAACCATATATGAAATAAACCGCAAATAAACTTAAACAGAAGCTGTTAATGTGAAAATTTGGGATTTAACTTAACTTGCAAAAGGTAAATAGATAGTTTATTTACCATTCTAAATATATTACACATAATAATAGTGTATGCATTATAAATTATATAATTATTAATATAATGATTAAGTTATGATATAATTTGATAATTTATGCGTTGCAGAAATTGTTGCTTTTAAAATGACCAGAATATGAATGATTGCATGTGTATGCCATGTATTAATGTACATGTTGTTACAAAAAAAGAAAACAACAATAATGCCTCAATTAGTCACTTAATTTACCAGCGTTGTTACATCTATATACATGTATATGATAAGTTGGTACACCCTTAGTGCATACTTGATTAAAACTAATCCATTGTTGCAACATAACAATGTTTGAACTGTTCCTAATCGGAGTTGGGGAATTGCATTATTTAAGGATAACAATGATGCAGTAATTAAGGCTTAAACGATCGGAAATGTCACTTAATGTATTTATATTAACGTCTGCGCGACGCTCTAGATGAAACGAATGCATTGTGTTGAAGTAAACATTCGTCGGAAATGATTCAAAGTGTTTAAGTGTTTCTTAGATATAATCTCGTCAGCAAATCAATAGTAATTAATACACAGAGATAATTTATATGAAATTGTTGACACGTACTGTTTACTAAACGGAATTCTAGTGCGCAAAATCAGTAAGTTATTTTTTCCGTTTAAAGCCTGCCTTCGGTGCGCATTATCAAATGTTTTTGTTGCTACGTTATTTCTCGATGATATTGACGATTATTCAGTGCTTTTGAAATAAAAGCTTGCGAAACTTTTCATTTTGAACGATAAATCTTAAACCGCAAGTGCACGGTGAACTTGAATATTAATTAAGTTCTTACACAATTGGACATTTATAATTACTTGATGGTTTGTCCGCATTTTGGTATAAAAATACTGAACCAGTCAACACGCACAGCACGACAATCAGCCAGGTAAAATCCAGCGTTCTGATTGGCTGAGAGCGATGCTATGTCATCTAATTTGATATTCTAATTAATCATTGTTAAGCGTATCTGTCAACGTACGTTATGTGTTTAATTGTCGTCTTGATCAATTAATTTCCCCTTAACAATTGCTTAGCATAATTGTTTCATTATAAACTATTCAAAATTATTATAGTCATCATTACAAAGGCAAGATTAAATTTTAATTTTATTTCTGATTTTTACGTTGTAGGATGCTTGAAATGGATTCGAGAATCTCTCTCCAGTCCGTAAGTTTATATTTTAATTTATATTCAGTAATTAGTTTTGAGTTATTATTTTTATATATACATGTTACAATAAAATATTGTCTACTTAATATTTTTTTAAATGTATTGACTTAAAAAGTTAAAATTTGTCAATGCCTGTGTTTAAAGACACAATATAAGATTCAATTTGCATTTTTTCATATGTATGATAAAGTTATATGTCGTTATCAGTAAGATATTTGTTGGATGACACATTTTCATTTTATAGCCCTGTCTGACATGATTATTTTTTTTTTACTTACCTGCAAACAGAAAAAGAAACCAATTCTTAAATTTGACTCGGATAAAAACACCTTTAGCCTCCTTTGGCTTATTTAAACTACTTTCTTAAATAACACCTGTGCATTTCAACTGTTTCAGCTCCCGGACTCTGATGTTTTTTCACCATGCTCAATAGACCATCAAGATGTATTTATGTACGATGATGACAAGCATGGACCAAGATGTGGGATGGATGGTTCAGACAGCCCGACCTTTCTTGATATTTCAAACAGTAAATCCGCATCTATTCCAGAAATTAAAACAGGTATGGTTAAATCTCCCATTTTTTTTGAATGACATAAATTGAAATATGACCCACGATGTCAACAGACACAATTTTTTTTACAACAATTGTTCTATTTGATATATCAGACCGTTATATTAGATGTAACTTGAAGCAAGTGTTTCTTCACACAACGTGTCTTGAATTTCACATTTAAATATTACGTTGTCTAATGCAATATCATACTTTTTTTCTTTTGAAAGATTATATTATCATATCTTAATTTGAAAGATTGTTTCTAAAATGTGTTGTAAAACTTAAAATGCAAGCTTGGAAACCCCGAGTCTCTTTTCAAAGCAAACATACTTTGTGATTTTATGTATATTCTATTTTAATCAAATTGTTTCTTTTCATCTAGAACCCGACACTGACACCCTAATGAGCTGGACACAAAAACACCCCGAGCACTGGTCTCAAAACGAAATCTTAGACTGGATCTATTTTGTTGCTAGTACAATAGATGTAGACCCGACTACCATAAGAGGTGAAGGGTTCCAAAATATTACTGGACCCGAACTATGCCGAATGACGCTTGATGACTTTCAAAGGCGGGATCCAGTCAACGGAAAATGTTTCTTTGATATGTTTAGATCCCTTCACAGAGATGGTAAGTTCCGTACACATTTGATGCAAATTTATATTTCATTGAAAAAAAGTCCTTTAATTTGCACGTTACTTTTTTTGCTGAATATCTAATGTATTGAAATTTAAGGAGGACTGCTATTAATGCTGACAGCTATTGTATATTATGCAGGTTTTAAAATAGATACCCGGATCAAAATGTCCGCAGACGATATTATATTTCAAGTACAATCTGTAACTTGATATTGCTAATGTGAAATTTGCACATTTATTATCAAACAATTTAATATTTATAAGTAGAGCAAGCATGCACAGTAACGGTGTTAAAATGATTAGTTATTTAAATTTCGATTCCTGCCGACTATTCATCGCAACTGAAATCAAGTTGACATACTGCATGTTTAGAAATTTATGTTTGATTTAGTTATGTGAATCAGCGAATAAAAACTGAATAAACATTAACCGCAAAATAATTGGTCATGTTTGTGAAAAGAGTCTGTGAAAAAGTTGGTAAAATGTTTCTAAAAGAAATACGTATATATTTATTAAAGCTTAACTGAAAGAGTTGATAAAAGGAAGAACATTTTTTTTTATCATTCGTGTATGAAAAGAATTATTAAGTAGCTTTAAAATGGTCTACCAAACAGCAAATACAAACTGCATTGAATGAATTTGTATGAATGCAATATTATGCAACAAATCATTTATATATTATATTTCTTAATTTGCATTTTCAGCTTTTTTCATTGAACCAGCCGACTGTGACTACACATCGTCAACCTCTTCCATGTTACATCTTCAACATGAGGTTAAACAGGAACCAAAATACAACCCCTGTCCATATTCCAGTAAGTTCACAACGCATGCGTACTGTATAATGTATTATTCACAGTTATATTCATTCATTTTACGGGATACAGTCTGGACCCGGAAATAGTGACTGGTCCCCATTAGTTACTTAAGAGCCAAATGTATGTTTCAAAAAAAAAAAGAAGAAAAAAACTGAAAAACTTTAAGGCCTTTTATACATATGCATGGTATTTCAGCTTGCATGTATACGAACAGCGTTTACCCAGCAAGGTAGCATGGCTTAAAAAAAAGATTTCTCAAATCATGGCATACGTTGTCTAGTTAAGAATTTCAGATCTATTGAGATGTTCATACATTTGGCTCTGTTTTTGTTTATACATTTGTGTATTGAATATATTCATATTTTTTCTAATCATGTTCATTTAACAAGCACATATTTCTACATTTCTATCTGCATGCTTTTATTTAACCCTTCTACCTTTTTCGAAATATATGCATCAAAATTCATAAGAAAAAAGTAGCACAAGAAACAAAGAATATTTAATGTATTCAATTTTGTTTCTTTAAACTGTATACAATTTACACATATACTTAAAGTAGAAGGGTTAAATTTATATCTGTTTCACATATGCTAGATATTTGCATAGAAGTCCAACCTCCTTTAACTACTGCTAACAAAACTTTTTACTGCTAACAATACTTCACTTTTAACAAACATTGAACATCACTTGTTATATCATATAGTATAATAATATTAGATGATCCGAGGATCTTTTCTTCATTATTCGCTTCTACAACTCGCTTAAAGACTGTTCATTTTATCTTCCATATTAAGGAAACTAATGCATATATATGATATCAAAGGGGACGTAACTGATAACAAATAGCTGCACAAATTAATGATGATTACATTGAAATGAGTCCGTTCAACGTTTCTGTAAATCAAAGAAAATGAGATGTTCATTTCAGATGAATAATTTCAATAATTATAAATGTAAGAAATGATCTGGCTCGCTCACGCCGTTAGTCAATAGGATATTTGTAGTCCACTTTGAAATTCGGAAGGATGTTTAATTACACATTTACCAATGATACATGTACCTAGCGGAGTAGGAGGATGTGTCTTGATGAGTCATGACTGCGTTTGAAACATTGTTCAAGAAAGACAACTTTGAGAAAAGAAAGTGAAAATAAAATTCACAAAAAAATTAGCAAGTATTTGACCAGGCTGTCCGGTATATTTTCAGAAGGTCAGGAGGAGAATTTTGTAACAACTGGGCAAGGTAATGACTTACAAGTGCTGCTAGGTACTGACTGGTATGATATTGACACATGTGTTGAAATCAATGACGAGGCCCTTGAGAAAATCTCCCGCCAAATTTTCCCACATCCCGATTACGGATACGGAAGTTCCGAATATGGCAGTTCCGGTAATTTACTAGAACTATTTTTTTTTACATTATAATGCATGGTGGGGCGTTTAGTGTTGCTTATGATTAACATTTGAATATCAGTCTTGAAATGTTGCAAGCACTCCCGCCAAGTAACAACTTTTTGGACTTCTATGCAAATTCTCGCTATAAATTAGTTGGTTAGGTGATAATATTTAATTTTAGTGGTTTTGTTGTAATAACTTGTAGTTAAGTTTTCTTGTAAATTGATTAATGCTCAAAACTATGATGCTATATTGTCTTAACACTGCTTTAGATCTCTTAGAAATTATGTGCATTCATTTAGTTGTTTTGTTACAGATTCAGAATCGATTAGCGACACTTCTGAAAACACAATGGATTTGTATACAAGACTACATGGTCGAAACGACTCTACTGGATCTGACGTAATGTCAGATGATGATTATGTCCCATACCCGGAACCAACCAAAAAGAAACCAGCTACCAAGAGGAAAGTGTCAAAACCGGGTGAGCAGCAGAAACCACAAAATCGTGGCAGGAAACCGGGCCAAAGTAAGCCTCGTTCCGGCCATTGTATTTTTTTTTAAAGTTAATTACAAATGTAATTATTTCATAACGCAAATTTCATATGTTTAATGGTATTAATGTTTCTTTTTTTGGACAGATAAATTTCATAGATTCTACGACAACTCTTTTGATGATTTCTTAATCTTATATTTATATTTACTTCCAACAGTTTCCAAAGGAAATCATCTCTGGGAATTCATCCGTGATTTGCTCAAGGATCCAAAATCAAATCCACACCTTCTACGCTGGGAAGAGCAGGAGACTGGTGTTTTCCGTTTTGTCCAAAGCGAGGCTGTTGCTCAAATGTGGGGCAGGAAGAAAAACAATCCGGGAATGACGTATGAAAAATTGAGCAGAGCAATGAGGTAAATGTCGTCTGTTGCTCGTTGTACTTAGAAATTGTAAATTTTCACAAGATATGGTTGGCTTTAATTTTTTACATTTTTATTTATAGTTACTTCTGTTTGTTTATAGTTAACATCCATCTATCTTTTAGTTGTAAATACGACATACTTCGACACTTTCCGTATCTATTATGTTCTTAGCTAACTCCTTTCGATCATTAAATGGCGAAGTTCGTAGAATGTGTGTACCATATATTAAAAATATTTACGACAACGATTTGGAGTTACTCTATACCAGTTCAAAGAATTTAAAAGTATTTAATCAAAGCCAAACCAAATCTTAAAGTGGTGCAAACTTGTGTTTTTGTTGTTTTAGTTTATCTTCTGCATGCGCCATTAAGTGGTCATACATGTGTTTGTAAGAGGTTGCATGGGCTAGGTCTTAAAGGGCTATTTAAAATTTTATTATTCTTTTTTTACTTAAAGATGAAAGAGGTTTCGGTTTTAAAGCTTTTATAAGCATGTTTTATAGAATAAAATACCATGTTACAAATGTAGACAAAACAGAACTGACGAATTTTATTAAGGTGGTGTTAGACATGTATTATTATATGTGTAAAGAACCAGTTTTATCACTTGTTTATATGTTACGATCTTGATTTTATTAGGTTTTGTCGGACAGCTGGCTACTTCGCGGAAGTGCCAAAAACGGGCAAATTTCCAAAGAAATTGTGCTTCCGTTTTGGCGAGAAAGCTTTCGGCTGGAAGGACTAAAAGCACGGGATGCTTTAGGTTAATATTGAGCACCAAAATTTGTAGTCTGCTTGTCGTCTGCTTCTCTAACCCTTTCATGACATAGGCTATGGAAATACATTGTATAACTGTGCAATGTGCTTCCCCCTTGTGCAATATTTCATTTGTTGCTTTTCCGGTTTTTTTCCCGGCTATCTTTAGGAATTCTTTTTTTTTAAATTTCAAACAGTTGTAATTTCAAAAAAAAGAAAAGAAAAAAAGAGAAAGCTATTGCTTATCTCAAAGAAATTTATAGGTGTGTGTTATATGAAGTTGTACAGGGCCTATGACATGTACTTGAATATATAATTGCTTTCTAGTTTGATATTTTATTGTGTGCTTTAAATTTACCTTCCTTTGCTTTATATGTTATATCATTACTCTTGCCTTCTTTTTCCATTTTTCCTCAGATCTTTACACTTATTTTCCTTATTTTAAAGAAGCTAAACTTATAAACGCTTATGTCCATGATTTCCTTAACAAAATCTGAAAATGAACTTGACCTTACAACAGACTGGATTACTATACTGGGTGTTAGAAATACAAGAATTGAGGAAAGAAATAAAAACAAGATTATATACAAAGACTGTATTCATAAAGTTTAAGATTTTTTTTCATTTTGGTTTCAGTTTATTTTATTATTATATTATTTTCCATTTGGGTTCAAAAAAATGATGGCATTAAAAAAACACGTAGAATTCAAATCCAATTTACCTTTGGGACTCTTTCGAAATAATATGGCCAGGTTAAGATGGCCTAACATGGCAAGTATTTTGAGTAAATTTTAGGAGAATATTAAGCTGAAAATGGCGGGTGATTTAGAAAAACATAAGAAGGATATGTTTGTACCAACTTAACGTATTCGTCTCTACCATCTCAGCTTTATATAGCCTACACCTGGTCACTAATTTTGAATGACTTTGAATGGTCAGTAATCTAGTCTGTAGACTTTACCTTTTATGTTTCCACTTATTTTTCCTCCCTCTCTCTAAAATAACAATACCCTATTTAACCAACTAGCAGTAGATTTGTACATTTTGATTTTTTTTTTGCTTTTCTCAATATCTTTAAATTGATTAAGAGAAAAAACTTTATAAAGAATAATGAAATTTAAAAACATTCCTTAAAGAAAATATGAACCCATTAAAGGCTAGTTTAAGAATTATATACATTTGTATACTAATTGCATGAAAACGGTTTTGGTGTTAGTTTTATATTTCAATTGTTCTTAAACGTCAGCATATATAGCACATGAGAATTATTTGTTAATGTTATAATGTTTTTGTTTGGTTACAGATATTATTACAAGAGAGGGATCCTGGATAGGGTTGATGGACGACGCCTTGTGTACAAGTTTGGAGTTAACTCGCATGGTTGGAAATAAATTAAACCAAATGCATTCAAGATCTCCCATTGTATCACAGCCAGTCAGCCGGTCTCAAGTGCTGCATAGGCCAAATTGTCTCCCATCCCTACAAACAATTTATTGGAAAAACACAATACGAACTCTCTTCTAGGCCAAAGTCCTCAATTTAAAATCTGGTTGCAGGCCACTAAAAGGCAAAGAAGGCAAATGAGGGACGAAGAGTCGTGACGTCATTGTAGTCCGATCGCTAGCTGTACACGTCAGAAAACAATTACATTTGACGTGATTTTAAAAAAAAGTGCTTCAAACATAAATTTTCATCATATTTGTTTCGTCACGAAACGTGACACGTGTCATTAGATGACGTTTATTACGTTGTCAATCATAATTCCTTATTTTATTGTCATTTCAATCAATCATACCATTCTGGAATGTAATTCCTTCATGAAATCGAATCTCTAATAGGATATGTTATTTCAAACTGCATAGTTATAAATATACAAGCAAAATGGTTTCTTATCCATGACAAATTAAAAAGAAAGCAATGACAATGAAAAAAGGACCGATAAATAATAACAAATTCTGCTTTGCTACTTAATGTAAATACTTAAAACAAAAATGCTGTTGTATATATAAGAACTAACATTTTTCAACAACTTTGTAATATATTGTTGGCGAAGATAATATATATCAAATTATTATATTATTATTTGTAGATCTACTAAAAAGTGTTGTTCTCAAAGCAGGTAGAAGAATATCTTCGGTTATAGTGTGCAAATGATAAAGAAAACACCCACAAAAAGCAGAAAGTAGTCTTGAGAATTTACTGAAAATGTTGTTTATATTTTAACATCCATTTTCATATTGTTTTTTATTTTTTTAAAAAGTTAAATGGAAATTAGAAGCAATACAAAAGTATCCCAATTTGCACAATTCATTTTTTTCAAGATTCCTTATTCATATATTCAGATAAACTTTATGGGTATATTTTTGGGCATTGCATACGTTGATGTTCTATAAAGACAAGTGGCGGATCCCGGCTTCATTGCAGGGAACCAGGTATAAACCAAAGTACACCAAATGTGTTTGACTCCGCCACAAATTATGTTTGTATAACTAGGCCTCCGGGTTAGTGCAATATCAAATGAATTAATATATGTACAACTTTCTTATTTGTAATAATGATGTTACAAAAATTATATTGTTTTAATATTACTAGTGTAAGTTGTAATTGTAAAATGTTTATATTTTTGTACGTAAAATTGTGAAAAAAATAAATATGTTAAATCCATTGTCTTTTTTTTGTAATGTGGCTTACAAGCTTTGAAAATAAAAATAAGAAAAATGATAATTGACTTTACCATGGAAGATTGGCATATGTTGAGAGAAATAGTCCTCATTATTCGAAAGTGACATTTTCAAAAGCATACATTTTTCATCTTGCACCCTGCCCACGGTCCCCAAACCCACTATTCTATAGAACTTTATGCACATGTGTTTTAAAAAACGGAATTACACTTGCTATACATGTATATTCCCATCTTCTATAAGTCTGGTAAAAATGTGTTGTGCTCGCTTTTCCGTATTTAAGTCCAAGTAAATAGTTATAGTACATTTGTTTGCACATACATTTTTCTATATTTATTTGTGTTTATTGGTACGGATAATATTTCAATAAAATGCAACATAATGGCTGTCTGCAAACTACTTTTTAATTGAATTCATGCGCGTGCCTTTCATCGTATACTTACGAGTAATTATAACAATGGGAAAATTCTGTTACGGCTTAGTATATAAATTAAGATATACCAACAAAGTAATTATTTACTTAATGTTATTTACTACCAAAATAAAGAAAAAGATCACCTCATAGATATGTCTAATATCAAAAGCATTCAGATCGTTTAATGGTATATATGACACGTTAGCAAGCAAACTTGCTTCTTCTCGAGTCCAGTCGCGTTCAAATTAATGCACGAATGGAAACAGCGTAACAACTCGTCTCGGGGTGTTCCGATTGGAAGGGGCACCTGGAGGGACTTCTAACAATAAAGCAAAGAAGTCACCAAATGACCTTGATTGAAAAACTAAAACACAATCACACAGATAATCACACATTCCGTTTAAGTAAGGTAAAGCCAATTCTGGACTTAACATATCAGATCATGATTACGTACAGTTTCAAAAATAAAATAGCTCAAGACAGGACAGCTTTTAGGAATTTTATTTTAAAAAAAAGGACTAATTTATAGTAGATAACATTGTTTATGACATGTTGATAACAGAAATCTATATAGATTGTCGTCTGATGTAAGATTTTAATTTATATTTAGCCTACATTTTTCACCACAAGAGTATTTTTTCCTTGTGTCATGATATGTTAGTTGTGATCAACCAGGATCTTTCAAATAAAAACCCTGGATAAACGGACAATGTCTATAAAATCTACTTCTTGTCAATTCTGGTATTAGAAAAACTAAAACTTAAAACTGGAACTAAACACAGGCGAAATCGATAACGCCATGACCTAGAGGGTAACGCGACCATAAAGTTTGATCACCGCTAAATAGTATACAAAGCAGACATATTACATTTTGAATAATTTTCACTCAAGTGATCGTAAATCGTTATAAGATATAGAAAAGTGCTGATGAATTGTAACTTAATCATCACGCATCAACCTCAAGCCTTCTAGTTAATCTAAAATTACAGATTAACGGTACATGAACATGTCTGGTATTATATCGCACAACCGTGTGAAAATTATTACTCATGAAAATTATGGGCAATTTTATAAAGTGGTTTTGAATTATTTTGCACAGGTGATTGAAATATGTCTTACCTGCTGGTGCATTTCATACCGGTGAAAATCGCTTGAACAGATAAAAAAGGAATTAAACGCTTCACATGGGGTATTGGCACGTTTATGAGCACAAGTGATTTAGCGTTCTGAGACCTATAATTACAGGGTGCCAGCCGACCAATCAGAAGCCAGTAAGCTCTACTGGGGGAATACCCATAAATAACTTGAATAATACAATAATGCATCTGCTACGTGTAGGTATTTGGTAAACTATTATTAAGTGCTTTGTTGAAGTAAGGTTATTTTATAGACATATTGTCGGTTTAAAATTTGAGGTAAAATGTTTGAAAAAAAAAGTAATCATAATGTACTGATGATATAAATAAGATAACATGCAATACAGTCAGAATAATTTTGATGCATTATTTGAAACGGAATCTATGACAAGCTCTTTAATTTTTTAGCAAGAATGAAAATTGCATAAATTTGAAGCGGACATTTGTACCCCAATGGAAAAAGCACTAAATAACTGCTCACGACATGCGACTTTTCTTTTCCTTTCTGTATACGTGGACGCAAGTTGCGATGGCGAAAGATAAACCAGTTGCCGAAGTCCTTACCGAAGCCGAGGAAAGTGGCCCTACAAGAAAAGGCAGGGGTCACGAGGAAAGGTGCTAGGGTGTGTGAGTCCCTAGCTAATACAAAGCTACGGTTTGAAGGGGGGCGCCCTTTCCTTGGCACAAACAGCTCTTTTCATGGCTATCAAAACTTTTCATATTATCTCGATTAATTGTACTAGGTTTTCATTGGCCAACGTACTTTTGGCTCACAATTAATTATCCGTGGAAGTTGCATGGATGTATCACAAAATTGTGCTTCGAAATTAACCCTTTAAGGGCATGACTGGTGACATATGTCATTCAGGATAGAATACATACATGTATATATACATACATGCAAAATATACGTGACCGCAATTGCCTGAATACCTTAATATGAAATTAATACCAACAATTCGGTACTAGTAATATATTGCAGATAAAATAGTGAACCATTTTAATGCTTAATAGTATCAAACTTTAGATTTTTTTTATACTGTTCAAAGGGCATTAGACACGAAGTCTTTCAATACCTTTCTTGAAAACAGACCTTATCTATTTAATTATCAAGCTCATCCAATGTCAACTATATTGTAAGTAACTATTAACATGCAATTTGAAGTCTTTGATCCGTGTGACATTAAGATTTAGCAAACTTTGGACAAAGAAGACTGAATTATGGAGACCTAGGTCAGAGTGTAGAATTACGCGGGTCATTTTTGTGTGTATTATTTTGCTGTTGTTGTGTTTTTGTATTGCCCATATTCAATTTCTCTCCATTATCAACATGCAAACAAAAACATACTTCCATAAATCATAATCAATTTTTTAATGTACATTTTTTTCGTTTTCTTAGTTTCATACTAAATTTCTTTTCTTAAAGTCATTAATTTGTCCGATTGAGGTGAATACATAATTTATGTTTAAAGAGTAGTGAAATGTTAGCTTGATAATTTAAGTATTTTTTATCTAATCCCAATATGTGAATATTGTTATCATCCTTTCATTACGTTACCAAATACCGGTACAAGAAAAATCCTCCAGCCGATCAAGTAGAGCGGTGCAATGTTACAGGCCTCTTCTCCAGTCTATGACCACTATTGTCAATCTTCTGAATTTGAGCTACGCCAGGCTAATACTTGTCTAATTTGTCATTATTTTACCTGTACAGAAGACGTTGATATACAATGCCTAAGTGCCCAGGATGTCCAGATCGTATCATATTGATGTACAGTTGTATTTATGTCCGTGCGAACCCACATATTATCGGTCCGGTAAAAGTACACTGGGATGACACCTGTGTGATGATTACTGAATGTCTCAAATCAAATCTCACATAAAGTCAAGTCCATCTAGGCTAGAATGCAAGATAATGATATACTCTGTTAGCTGACATCGGTCAATGTATCCCCGTTAAAATGATTTATTATTTCGTTCAAAAATTATTTTGATGATTAATGTTTCGTTCAAAGATTATTTTGATGATTAATTATTTCGTCCAAAATTTAGCTTTAATGCGCTTATCAAAATTATATAACATAATTTTTATAAAGTGTTTTTACTATATTATAACTAAACGGCTGACAGAGGGAAGTATATGTCAGAAACTTTAAAGAAATAGAATGAATATACATGTAATTATTAATCAGCTGCATGTAATGTATATCACACAAAGTACATGTACAGCTAAATAAATAAAAACATGTTCTATATAACAATATAAATGTAATAATATCATCATAATTTTCATTCTCTAGAAATATATGAGACTCATATTTAGTATTGTAGATAAAACAATAGAATGATTAAGCACTTAATAGAAAAAAAGCATATTAAATATATATTGTTTATCTCCCTCCATGTTTGAAGATGTCTGTATTTGGCAAAGTAAAGAAAATTTTCTTTTTATGATGTATCGATAGTACTTCAAAACCTTTCAATATAGTCTCCGAATAGACCATTATGTCAGCAAACACTTTTGAAACGACCTTGTCATCTGATGAAAGAAGACCATAGATTTTGACTTGACAAACATATTTTTTTTTTCGAACGACAATAACCAGTAAGGTCGCCGTAAACGCACTTAAGAGTAAAATAATAATATGAGTGCAGGTTCAATACTAAATTTATTGAACGAGTTGAAAAAAAATACAATGCGAGCCTCTGGCGAGCAAAATATTATTTTATTTAACGAGTCTACACGAATATAATATTCTATTTATCACATACCAAAATTAAAGACCGTTTGAAGTGATAAAGAAACATTTTTCATTCACGCGTCTACAGTATAGCTAACATTTAGCGCGTAAATGACGTCACGCCAAAATATATGCACGGCCGTGGAATACCATTTTTACGGAGACGCAAAAACGGCACGGGTATGTGATAAAAAGAAAGTCAACATATCCAGTCTAAACGATGTGATGCGCAGATTTAAATGACGCTTATTTATTATTTTCTTCTTTTTTTTCTTCCGTAAGAACTGACTCATTTAAATATTTCACGCGCATAAACTGCCCGGCATTCATTCGTGCACTAATTGCTTCGTATGTGTGTGTGTTTTGTTTTTCTTTTTTTCTTCTTTTTTTGTTATTGTTCTTTTCCACATAAACCGTACAATTCTATTTCAAGGATTCTGTCAGAAAACTGATATACCATTTATTTTTCTTTTCAGTATTCAAACGTTGGAAATTAATGACATGACTAGTATTAAATGTTTTGCACTGTAAAGTAGCATATCTTTTTCTATTTTTATTTTCTAATTACCTATCAAGTTTCAATTCAATAATTAGCCGAAGTTTGACGGAAATGACCGAATAGTTGCAATTACAATTTTAATGAAAGTCATGGAATGCTACAGTCGTGACAGAAGCATGCTGGCGTCTACTA